TGCATCCGAATCCTGACAACATTTGGAAAGTTCATCTTTAAAACTAATCTTTGCCCACATTTGCTTTTTACTCCTTTTGTTGTTTTATTTTCTCATCTCCAAAAATCACCTAAAGTTGTGCAGAGTTCCTATGAGGAAAACAACAAGACTGGGGGGTTGAAAGTATCACGTATGCCAGTGAGAATGTCGGTGTCACGACCTCAGAGGAGGAGGCAAAAAGATCAGTCTCTGGAGCTCTTATCTCGCTCTCCATCTGTAGTAGATTTTTGTGGCACGAGGAGCACAAAGGGAGAGAAAACACTTCAGAGACACTCCAAACGTGGAACAAAAAGCTCTTCTCTTGTTTTCTGGCTGAGCAGACAGGCGCACAGCATGAATAATTAACAGGGGACAAACAAGAACTATCAGCTGCCAAATCTGAAAGTTTCTCCTTATCTGAAGATGGAGTCAGCAGAAGCAGTGAAGCAGCTCCTTCACACAGATAATATGTCAAAGGATACCGTTTGTTTTGTGTCGCAAAACATTTTGACATGTTCCCTCATTCACATTAAATTAACTTTCACAATTTATGTTCCAAAAACATTTTTAAATAAAAGTTATGATGTAGATTTTTGGAGTTTCTGCATGAAAAAAGTCACCTTTCAACAATTAAAACTGCACCATAGCATATCAGAATGATCAGTTTATCTGGTGCACGCTGTTTGACATGAATCACTTTGACGAAACGTGTAAAGAAAGAAAAGCTTTGCAATTTTATTAAAATGTAATTTATGCTTCCTGGACAGTGGAGAAATGTGCAATCTGAAATGCATTTTCTTTGACTTCATGTGCAAATTTAAAAAAAATATTGTTTTATTGTCAGGAGACAGATGTTTATTTATGCAGGGATATAAAGGAAATGCTCTCTTACAGAAGCAAACATCAGCCCCGTCTGAAGGGCAGGATGTAAATGTTTAAAGTGGATTTGGTGAAGGAAACAACAGCTCGAGTTCTGTGGGGTTTATTATATACGTTTCTAGAAATAAAGATGAAACAACAAACTACAAATACCTGCACCTATTAACTTATGAAAACAAGTTTTACTACTTTGCTTTATTTTAATTTATTTCCCATCATTTCTTAGTTTGATGGCCTGATTCCAGCTTATAACATACAATACTTTATTTACAGGTCTCTATTGTAAAGGAGTCCTCGAGGCTCAATGAGACTAACCTGTATAAATAAAGGTTGAATGAATAATGTCAGTCAGTCGATCAACTGTAATCATTTAGATAAGCTAAAAACTAGGGATGGGGCCGATCCGATCCAGTATCCGTATCGGCCTCCGACACCAGCATAATTTACGTATCGGATTTTTCCGATCCAACCTGCCGAGATTTCCGATCCATGATGCGTGTTGGCTTCAAACTATGGAATGGATTTCCTGAATGGAGGCGTGTCTCATGAGCACAGAGTAATAAGACCCGCCTCACATTCAGGAAATCCATTTGATAGTTTACAGCCAGCTACAACGTGCAGTAGCACTGTGGCTAACGGCTAACCAACTTTCCATCTAAACATGTCCGCTGTGTGGAAGTATTTTACACTAGAAACAACACAAAACAAGACAGCATCGTGCAATGTCTGCAGAGCCATAGCGCCACATTAAACCGCGGTAACGTTAGTTTTACAATGGACATTCGAGCTCCGGGGCTTCAGTGATGTCTTCTTGTTCAGTCCGGAGCAGGCAGTCTGATTTCGGTCAGCTGCACTCAGTCTGCCCGTGTTGGAGGAGGGGCAGACTAAAGTTTAGCTAAAGTTGCTAAACTTCATCGTAATTAATGACCAACCACTGTCAGTTGTAGAAAATGAAGGATTTCACAGCTTGATACTTGCAGCCAAGATATAGTTTACCCTCCAGGAGATATTATCAGTGCAACAGTAGACAATTATAAAAAGCATACGAATAGAAAAATACAAGA